ATGTCTCGGACCCAACCTTCACAGTAGGTGACTACTACAGGTGTAAAAATGCACTGATGGATCAGTCTGAAAGAGGTGATTCAGTTTATTGATTTTTGGAATACTGTAATAATCAGTGGTAATTCATTATAATAATATTTAATAAAGTATTTACTCTTTTTTTGGACTTTTTTAAATGTTATTGGTATGGTTTTATTTTAGGTATACATCATTCAAAAGACTAAACTATTTTTCCAATATGTTAATCTCAGCAAATAAATAGAGATTGTGCACTGAAAATGCTGATATACAGTTTATTTCATGCATATAACTCTAATTGTTGTGATGTCAGAGATTTACAACCCTGACCATCCTCATTCTCCTGCTCTGGGACAGGCCCAAGAGTAGAAAGAGTCTAGATAAATGACACCTCTCCTCTCAGACGGAATGTGCTCCTAAGAACAGGGTCATTTCTTCTCCTCCTGTATTTTATGTGGGGCAGGTGTGCACTGCACCTGCTTTGGGTTTGAAAAAGCACTTGCAGAGCGCTCTGGTTTGTGAATGGATTTTTAATGAGGGAGAATGATTGAGTTTCAGCTCTCAAATGCAATTCAGAGTGGCCTGTGGAGGTGTGTTGGAATAATGCCCCCACCCCACTGTCCCCCCCTCCACTTTTACCCACTATCCCCCTTCTCAAGCTGTCCTGTGTGTGTTCAGGATTAATGGAGCTGCAGACTCTGAACAGTAATGACTCCCACATACCACAATGGCTGTTCTAAGCAAAGAGCAGTCTGTTGCCCCACGCTACTCATTTGCAGCAGGAGTGGGTAAGAAGTAGTGAAAAGGCTTGCTGGGATGGGTTCAGCCAGGCCACTGTTACCTTTGACATCTGCATGTCAGAGAAAGGCTACCTGTTGGTTTCAGTGATGACCTCCCTTTTTTCCATGGGGAATTAAAGTGCTGAATTACACCAGGAGAGAATGAAGCAACATGGAGGAATTGCATGGAATTCTATGCATTTTGCATGAGCGTGTTGATGTGTCCCAGTTATACAAACACTAATTCTAACTGGCTTTTCAGCATATAAGTGTAGTTTAATTGCTGAAGTTGGGTATGTTTGAAAAAATCTATAATCGATCAATTTTTAAATGTTGAGAGGAGCTGCTTGTCAATCACATACTCATATTTGTACACTATTAGTGTTTACTAGAGAAGAAATTGGATACATTCTTTCACTATTAAGATTAAAACCTTATAGCAGGGGTGCCCAGTACTGGTCCTGGAGGTCTACCATTATTCAGATACTTCTGAAGGCCTTCATCACCTGGATCAGGTGATGACTAAGTTTGACAAATCAGTGGTTTTCTCCACGCATACATTCCAGCTCGATGCGCATGCCACCCCAGCAAGAAGGGTAATCAAATTCAGCAAGGCTACTCAGCCGTGATTCATTTGGCAGTGGAAGTGATGACAAAATGCATGATCACAGATTTGTAACCGTACTGTACTGTACTCCACTGCCTGGTGGAAGAACATCATAACTCACTCTCACGTTAAGCAGGCTAAAGGGTACACAGCTGTGTGTGTGTGTGTGTGTGTGTGTGTGTGTGTGTGTGTGTGTGGGTAAATGCCGTTGTAATACAGTGACAACTATTTACTGGTATGGGCAGCATTCCCATGATCACAGTAAACGTACTTCGGCTCAGTTGTGGAAATGACCAGAGACAAAAAAAGCTCCATGAGAGCTGTAGAACATGGTGCTTTGCATCACTGTTACTGTGTCCATGTTAGTTGGAAAGAGCATCTTGTGAGAAGCCACATCCTCCTTCCACGCCTCAGCTGTAGTGCTGGGTGGTATATTTTCAGTATCTGTATCCTGGTATAGGATAGCACTGTGATAGTGATTTTAGTGATTGACAGACAGACTGATGCACTCACTCTGTGTCAAGCAGTCATGGAAATTCTGCTTTTTGCACTGTACACATGGCATCCAGAATCTGCCAGTTAACTGCAGTGTGTGCTTCGAATTATTTTAGGATGCTGTTGCAAATACATTGAATAGGAGGTTTCCTACAAGGGATACACAATGGTATAGGATTCATATCGGTATTGGCAGATAATTGATAAATAGATAAATGATTGGCATTTGACAGATGTTTAGATTTGACTGATGTTTGATAAAGCATCAACAGATATGTAGGTAAAAATATGAGATCACCATCAGCCCTGGTGTTTACTACTTACCATTTACTGTTCCAGGTTTTTCTCTGGATTATGTTGGCAATATTGCATAATGCTTCCCTTTGTGTCACTGTAAGAGAAGAAAATGGAACAAAACACTAAAAACAAACAGGCTATTTTGGGGTTGTATGACATTGTGCTCAGGAAGCCTTAGTTTGTTTACGTTTCATCTGATACAGATGATATATATGTGGAAAATATTGTGATGCTGAATTCTGTAAGTGCGTCTCAGCACTGCTCAGGTGTTTCAGCGTTCTTTGTTTGAGCTCTGGGTGTATTCATGCTCCAGCAGTCACAGTCTGAAGCTGTGGTGTGTATGCACTGCTGCCTGCCTGTGTGTGTGTGTCTGCAGTGAGCCCTCATCCATCACGTTCCTGTGCCTGTGCCGAGGAGCGTGTATGTGTTCGTGTTGCTCTCGCTCTGCATTATTGATGCGCTTCCTGTTTACGATGCGATTATACAGAAGTCTAATGGGGAACTGAAGAGGAGAAGAAGGTGCCTAACTGATTCTTAATGTGCTCAATAAAAAAAGAAAAAAAAGCAGGTTGTCTGCAAAACTACCTTATTTATGCACTGTAAAACCATGGAACATCAAACTTACAGTACTGTGCAAAACATATGACGTTTAATTTTTCAGTTGAAACAGCCATTAGGTGTATGTTATGCATTTTAGAATATATTTCTAAGGAGATATAATCCCTTTGCATAAAAAAGAGAAAAGTTAAAAATACGGAAAAAAATAGGATTCCTAACAACCATGCAAGACGTGGTAGACCACCACAACTGTGCCCATCGGACAAACAGTACTTAAAGCTTTTATCTTTGAGTGAGAGGAGAAAATCGATTGCTTCGGATCTGAAAACATCCACAGGTGTTTATGTCCATCCTTCTACTGTGAGAAGACAACTCAACACTATGAGTCTGAAAGGATGTGTAGCCGTCAAAAAGCTCTTACTGAGAAAAGGGAACAAACAAAAAAGAAGAAAACGTACAAATCAAACAAAGGAGCTGCTAGTGTTCTCAGAACTATGGACTGTCGACCCCAGGATCCAGACCTCAACATCATTGAATGTATTTGGGATTAGCTGTAAAGCAAAAAAAATAACATACTTTGAACTGAACTGAACTTGTACTGAACTTTGGAGGTGTGGAAAAACATGCCTGCAGATTTCCTTAAAACTCAAAGTAAGTCAGACGAAAAGGATGGAAGCTGTAACAAAGGAAAAGATTGGACTCTAAATACTGAAATATATACAGTTGTTGAGGTTTCTGTGAAATTGTCTTTTATAAATGTTTTCTGTTTTTTTTTTCCTGACTCTGAAAATGAATAACATGTACTTAATGTGTTTTGACTGGAAATGAAATAAGTGAAAGGTGGTTTGACTTTTGCACAGTACTGTATAGGAATAATAATTCTCTTCTTTAATTCTGATATTTATTTTATTTTGCAGTAAAGCTTTCCTCGGTTGGAAAAACAGCTCAATTAAAAACTGACAAAGTGTTAAAAAACTAAGAAGGGTTGGGGACCTCAATGTTTGGATTTACTGTATACAGTTTGTGTTTGCAGGTAATAATCATCACCTTTTTTTTTAAAGCTGCCCTAGTTGGCTCAAGCTAATGCTACACATAAAGACTCAGTCCTGTGTGTTTGTATGTCATGGACCAAATCCAGTGATTTGTAAATGGCCCCCTGTTAGTTGTGAATGGGCTCATGTTTTCCAGGAGCCTGCCCTCCTGCAGACTCATGTGAAGGTGCATATTAGTACAATTACACGGTAATGGGCATCAACACCAATTATTTTCCCTTTAAAGTTGCAGACGTAACCAGCCCCTAATTAGCAATGACGGTGTGAAGTGCTGAAAGCAGAAAACAGTGTGTCTATATTAGGCAAAGTAAAGATCTCAGAACGAATCTATTAAATTAATGATTGTTTTCATGATGAATGATGATATCAGAATTATATCACTATCTCCAGATATATGCCTAAAAAAATTCATCATCAGACAGAAGCTCAGACTTGACTAATTTGATCTGCTGTGCTACAATCTGTGCATTTTATTCATTTCACTGCATTTGTAGCACACAAAGAAATGCTATTTCTTAATACTGCGAAGACAATGAGATGCAGTCCCAATTTCTACATTTTGTAAATGTATTTGTATCAGCATTTGCAGATGTATAAGTGAAAAAGACTGGATAGCAGTATTAATCCACAATCCCCATATCGGTGCACCCCTCTTTCAGATGTTTAGATCAATCTGATACTTGATTGTGTTTATTGTACTTCAGAAGAGGAGAATGTTTAGGTGAGATGATGCCAGGCTGCTGCACTGAATTGTCTGTGTTCAATAATTTTACTGTATTTTATCATTGTCGTGCAAAAAACGTATGTCTGCATTTTTGTTTTTTTTCTTTTTTGCATAATTTGAAAAGTCAATTAGCCATTGCATTGTTTCAAAATTTCATGATGAAAAGACCCACAAAAACAGTGTAAAATTATTTGAATTTTTTTTTACAGTTACTTCCATTACAAGTTAATCATTTTTTTTTCATTTAAAGTTAGCATTTTTGGAGAGTCTCTATTTCTACATTTTAAAAATGTTTATGTATTGGTATCAGCAGCAGAAGTTTATCACCAATTCTAGTCAATGCAGTTAAATTGGCATCTTCGGACTGATGCATTACAGAGCATTTTTACACCTCTACTCTCTGTACAGCGTGTGTGTGTTTGTAGATGTGAAAACCATTTATGTTTCCTTCCTTTGTCTTGCAGGTCTGAGGGATTGACTTGCGAAGAGCACCAAAGAGAGCCCTTCTGTCTTTGTCTCGCACTCATGATCTCTCTTCTGCCTGGCCTGAGGAAACAATCAGCCATCTAGCACCGTGTACCAAGGCTGCTGAGCCAAGCCCAGCCATCTCCAGCTCTTTCACAGGATCCCCCGACCTCAGCACACTCTCCTGCCCTGCTTCAGCTTTCTGTGGGCCCCCTCGACCCCCCCTTCCCCCTCCCCGCGAACACTGGCACAGCAGCACTTTAGGACTGCTAGTCATGAGTGAATTCTGGTTGTGCTTCAACTGCTGTATCGCCGAGCAGCCGCAGCCGGTAAGCAATTCTGCACTGATGAATGCTGTTCATGCGTGGGGTTTACCGGACGTGGGGCCCGCAGACTCCGTCCCCAGACACGCATTCAAACCACAGGAAGCAGGAAGTGATCATTGTGTCTTTGTTAGCGAGTGGCACCTGTGACTGCACGTGTAGCACATGAGATGTTTTTTCAGATTGCAGAACATGATTTCAGATACACAGCTATGTTTAAAAAAAAAATCTGCACAGAGTTGCAGTACTGTACAGTACATTGATTTACATTGTAGTCAAAACAGACTTTAGAGACAAGTTATCATGTTGTTACTGAGAAAAAAGAAGAAAATGCACTAGTATAACAAAACTGGACATCTAAATTTGCAATTTGAATTGCTTGGATCATGAGAGGGAGACAATGCAGCCAATTTCTAAGACTGACCATTGTAGGCGTGGAAAACATTTCCCAGATTTCTTTGAGGAATTTAAAGCTCTTCTCAAAAACAATGAAAGCTGTAATAAAGGCAAAGTGTGGACACATTAATTACTGAAAATTTGGCTTTATATTTAGTTATTGAGGCTTCAGTGTAATTTTCTCTTAAATTATGTTTTAACAGAAAATAAGTATATCTTGTGTTTAATGACCATTAAATAAATGAAGGGTGAACTCTTTTGCACAGTGTTGTAGTTGATCAGCCAAGACATGTTTGGTGTCTGAAGTTCATTCTTTGAAATTGAGGCTAATGCAGTTGTTGAATGTTGTAGATCCAAAAGTTCATCTCTGTGTATTGTTAACTGGTGTATTGGTAGAAACTTGTTTACATTGTTATTGACACTATATGATCTACTGTAACTAAAAAAGCAAACTTCAGACACCAAACGTGTCTTGATTGATCAACCAAATTTGGGTATTTAGTTGGCTATTGGGAGTATGTTTGTCCGTGGTCTTGGATTATCAACTATTGAGGGTATATAAGTGGGTGGCAGACAACATATTTGCTCTAAGCTACATTTACATCTTTTTCTAAGTGTATGTGTGTGTGTGTGTGTGTGTGTTTTTGTTAGTGTCAATGTCATGTTATTCCTGCCCGGGTTTTAGCTCTGTGCGCGAATGCTAGCCCCTGGTCCAAGTGCTCCGATTCACCACACCTCCCTGGAGATAGATACTGTCACAACACATTGGGCCCTAGTTTGTCTCCACTTGCCTCCACAGCTCCAAGACAGATAAGATTCCTATAAAAAGCCCTGCATACTCTCCCAGTCACAGCACTACTAAAAATAACCAAAAAAGGATTTGCTGAAGAGAGTCCCCTTCATCAGAGATTTGCATGTTCAGCTTCACTGAAATCTAGTGTTCTTTACTGCGCATTTTGAGACGGAGTATGACTTGGTCTTAATTTGTCTGTTGATAGATCTGATTCAGTTGTTGAAACTCTGAGCTCATTGAGTTTTGAGCTTGAGTACCTCATCTAATTGACTTGTTGGTTGTGTGGTTCAAACTGAACAGATGCGCTGGACACAACTCAGTATGTGCATGTCTCTGAGGGTGGTGTTAGGTAATTGTACTTTATATGCTTTGGAAAATCTTTGGCACACCCTGTACTGATTGTTTAAATTAAATTAAAGTAATTAGTCATTGACTGAGAGGAAGTACGCTAACATTTTCTACAACTCTTGAACTGGCAAGACATTAAGTGTATAGGTGGTCAGCATCTCCGTGTCGCTCCACCATCTTCTGATGCTCTTTATTTAGCGGTCGCTGGGAGGAGGTGAGCTTTGCCGTTCAAGGCCTTTTATGGCCAAAGCATGTGAGGAATCTGGAGAGCTCTCTGGCTTCCATAATGATCAGTGATGAACCAAAAAAGCTTGGCAGCCCTACGCTGTCTTGCCCCATTGCAAATGACTATCTAATTTTTATTGGGCTGTTTCATAGCAGGGCTAATTAGCGTATGAGGCCATTTCTTTGTGGCAGCCATGGACTGATGCCATTTAGAACAGTACACAGAAGTTTTCTCTTGATCAGTCATGAGGTGCACTCTGCTTTCTTTTTAATTTAAGACAGTTCCATCCACTAGCTAGGTCCCCTTCTGTCATATAGTGCTTCAAGGCTGGGAGAGTGGAGGCTAGAAATGAAATCTGAATAATAATAATAATAATAATAATATACTTTTATATTTTACGTGACATTTTATGGTGTTTGCTATATCAGCACCACACAGCAAGAGAACAGCACTTTATGGAAGGTTGTTTTTGGGTTTTTTTGGGTTTTTTTTTAGACTAAGAACATTTGTGGTGATGTTCAAAAAGCACCGCCTAATGAATAAATTAATTAGAGGAGCAGAATGTAAATTTAGTTTTGCATTGTTTTATTGTTTAGGTTTGGACTCAAAACTTCAGGGTTGGGTTGTGTTCTGACAAAATTTTATTTAAAAAAATGTGATGTTAATTTAGCACTGTGGGTGGCAATGAGCCAGTTTGGGTCAGTTTTGGTGGGTCAGGTTTACACTCAAAACTGGATGATGCGATTAGAGTTGAGTCAGATTCAGACAAAATTTTGTTGGGCTTGTGTCGGGTTCAGACTCAGAACGTGACCATTTGAGTTTGGACCGAAATTTCAGGCCCGAGTAAAGCCTGGTGGTGCTTCCACCATGTCTCATGCAACATTATTGTGCAGCTCAGCACGCTTGAAGGAAAATGCTAACAACCAATTCTGTTACGTCAGCTAACAGATACCCATGATGAGTGATGGGGGAGGAGAGGGCCATCCTACCCACCCAGAGAGAGCAAAGCCAGTGTGGCATAGGGGCAACAGTTAGATGGTTGTGCCAATTGGGTGCTAAACCAACATTCACACAGACAAATTTACTTAAAATGCCTTACAATCCAAAGTATCACAAAAAGGCAGGTGAACAATTGCTTAATTTATAGATCATATAGCTGATGGAAGTGTCAGACTCACATAATTGGGCAGGCTTACATATTGACAACAGCTTTTGCTTTAAATAAGGTAGACTGTAGTGTAGTCTATAGGCAGCTAGCGAAACATTCCAGTCTTAAAACAACAGCCTTGACTTGTACCTGCTCTGTTGAGGTAATCATTATTGGCAGTGAAAGCTGATTGTTGAATTCCCCTACTGAATTTTGCACAGTACTTTTCCAATAGCCTGTTGTCACAGTTGAATAACGCTGCAGTAATGTGGAGGATGATATGCTTCAGGAGTTGAGAATACTTAAAAACGCGGCTTTTGAATTATTAATGCAAATTAGTGCCTCATATTCTGCCTGAGTTTTCCACTGATCTTAAATTGGTGTGTAATTTAGGAATATGGGTTCATTAAATTAGGTCACACTTTCCCTCAAGCCATGAGTGCGTGTGTGTGTATGTGTCCCAGTTTAGACCTGTCATCTGCTCTTTGATGAGCAGGGACATTGAGGCCTATATAACATGGGGCTAAGCTCATACATAGGTTGTGTTCAGAGGAACACAACTACTTGAGCCTTCTAATCTAAATGCAGCTTTGCAAAACTGGGCTGATCATTTGTGAATGCATGCATAAAGTTGTGTATATTTTGAGCATGGTAGTGAGTCAGCCTCATAAGATGGAGAGTAAGAGTACATGCTGTGTGTTTGAAGTGCCTTAATGAAGTGTGTTCATAATTTTTATTGTAACGATTCACAATATTCATTACTTGATTTGACCTGATACAGTGGTGTCTCAAGTCAGTACATTTTCGATACAATTTAAAATAAGGAGTGCCTGAAAATGGGCCATAAATTAACATGCTAATGTTGCCGTTTTCAGTTTATTTATAAAAACAAAAAAGTTGTGCTTCAGTGTCCCAATCAAAGGTGTGATTAGACCCAGACATACATAAGAATGTTCCCTATTTAACACAAACAGTATGATCATTATGATCATGCAAATTCACTGCAGTTACTACATTTCCCAAAGTGCCCCAGCATCTTTCCTTTAAATGCTTTCAGTTTCTATATTCTACAGGCTGTATGGCAGCTGTCCTCAATATGGAGCTAGCAGTAGGAGAGACAAAAGACACATGTATAGGGTAGATAAGACTGTCCCAGTATCCAGGTCAGTACTTTGGCACCAAAGAGAGCTTTTTTATTGCACCTGGTTGGGCAACTTTTCCTGGTTAAAGTGTATAAAGGAAAACAAGAGCTTTCTGTTTTTAATGCTGTTCTGGGCTATGCAGTCGACAACTCTTAACCACAAGCTAACATGATGGTCCCAATACCACCATATGATACTATACCACACCATATGCTCTGATAAAAGACATTGTATTGTCGTGTTACATCCCTTTTACATAAGCCTGCATGCATATCATCTCTGTCGTAATAGATGCTTGTATTTCTAGAATGATAAACAATATAAAGCAGGCTTTTTTTAGTCTTATCTGCAAAGGGCTGGTTTGATTTCAGGTTTTCATTCCAAAAAAAGCAGGAACTCATATGATTAGTGGTTTGAAGACTAATTGATTAAAATTGTGGAATCAGGTGTATTCCTGCTTGTTTGGAATTAAACCTGCAGCCACACTGGGCCTTTGTGGATGAGGCTGGACAGCACTGATATAAAGGGCAGCTGGCATTTTTAAAAGGTTAAAAAAAAAGTTGTGAGGTTTTGAAATGACGATGATGTATTTTATATTTATATTTTGTATAGTATAAACAGTGAATAAGACCCATTTGTCCTTCCTGCTTCAGTCTGCTGTTAATAATAAACCCCTGTTTAAATGGTTGTCTAATAATAAATTTCAATTTATAGTTTGCTTCGGGATTGCTCCTGTGAGAGTGCTTAGGTCAGTCTGGAAAGTGAAGTGAAAAAGTAGGACAGAAACAGCGGCTGACTGGCACTCAGATGGTGAAACTGAAATGGACATAACCGACATTCATGGGACCTGAGGCTAACGTGGAGCTCCCTCATGACTGCTTTAATCTCTATTAGGTGTCTTTATAGACAGGCATGTATCTTAGAGCACGTATCTTAAGGTTCTTCCGTATAGAG